GGTATGTTTTAAATATGTATATCTTGTTAGTAACAAGTCAAGCTGGTGCTAGGCTTAGATCTCAGGGTCTCTTCTGATGTCCTTCTGATATTAACAGCAAAGCAGGTGGTCATTGAGAAGCCTTGACTGGCACAAAACTTGAGAACTTTCTGATCACTGTCATTCACACAATCAATGCCATGTCTACCCAGAATCCCAGACCAGATCTCAGCATTGGACACAATTCTTGCATCAAAGTCTCCAAGTACTAGGTGGGTTTCCTTTCATGGAATCCTGCCAATCAATTCATCTATTAGTAAAAACTATCCCTCTCCTCACCACTAGCATGCAGAGCTGGAGCACAGACACTGGTGAGGTTGAGGAATCCCTTCTGTAAACTAACTCAAAATGTCATGATATGTGAGGATGTCAAAATCAGAGCATCACACAATGACATGAGTTCATCTCTGATAGCAAAACCCACACCATACTCTCTCCTTAATCATTCAGGATTTCCATGCCAGTTAATGGTGTAGGCCTTCTCCCATATAAAGCCTGTGCCTGAGAGCTGAGTTTCTAAAACAGCTGCAATATCATTTTTAAAACATGCAAGCTCTTTACTCAATGCTACCATTTTCCTCAAATGTGAATTCAGATCAAAGTCATATGTGAAGTCTGAATATTCCAGCAAGCAATTCTGTTTACAAAAACAATAGAACCAGGATGTAAACAATGAAGCGGGGCTTGTTTAATCCACCTTTTCTAGGGCCACCCTCACACAAAGCAAGCAAGCCATCCCTTAAAACAGGCAGCTTGGAAATCTTGGTAGCTGCCCCAAGGTCCTTAAACCTCTCTTGGATTCCCCAGGAAAATCTTGCCAAGACCTTCAGTGTATATGCCTAGGCAACGTTATGCAAGGGTAGAAGCTTCCATAGACCTGCCATCCCCCCGCTCCCACATTAGACCACTGAGCCAGAATCCAAAGGCCAGAGTGAGTCTGGATGTTCAGTAAGACAGATATTGTAACTTCTGACAGAGAGCCAACCTAGATAGATCTGCTAATTGCCCATCACTTCAGCATGAGGACCTTTTCTGTCAGGGTGAGATTCTTTAGTTAGGGATGTGAACGGCTAGCTGATAAACAAATGCTTATTGGATAGTTGACACACTAGTCGACTAGTCACTTCCCCCTGTTTGCTGCTTCTATCAGAAAGAGGCAGCAAAGAGGGGTGGGGGAGGGGGTGGGGGAGAGAACCAGGTGCTTCAAAGTGGCAGTGGCACATGGAGTCCAGAGCCAGACCGTGAACTCTACATAGCGCTGCCACTTTGAAACACTCTAGTCCCGGTCTGAACATGACATTTCAAAGTGGCAGAGCTGTGTGGGACTGTTGCTATACTTCAGAGGCGAAGACGCCCTTATCGACTAATCAAATAGTTGATGCAAACTGCATTGACTATTCAGTTAGCCAATTAACCTATATTTAACATCCTTATCTTTAGCCAGTCTTTACAACAAGTATCCAACAAGCAGTGGAGGACACAATTTAACATCATGCCGGGACTAATCTCTTTATTTACTCAATTAATAATAGAATACAAGTTCAACAGGTCAATGGTAAAAAAGCAAAACTAGAGCAGTGGCTCTTCAATTACTCAATGTGTATTTTAATTTTAGGGAGCTCCAGTTTTGGGGTAAATTAATTCCACAATGACCTGAAGAAGATCTCTGTGTACCATGAAAGCTTGTCTCTTTTGCCAACAAATGTTGGTCAAACAAAAGATATTACCTCACCCATTTTATCACCATTCAGCAATGGAGCATATATGTTTTCAATTGCATGGTTAAATGGTTTTTATAATCTATATACTTGGAAGCCAGCAAAATTATTTGATTTTTCCAACTCGGTTTATAAATTGTCACAATGGATGTGCAGGGTGGGATAAAATGAAAAAATATTCCATAACCTATCAGATCTCTTGAAATTTATTTCTTAATATAGCTTGTTCTGTTTTCTTATATGGAATGAAAACACCGAAATGAAACAAAGTAAATATACAAGAATAGATGTGTGTGGCTAATATTATTGACTTGTTCAAAGTATTTTGGCCTCAAAAATATTTCGCTTCACTTTCTTTACTTTTGACTTAATTGCACATGAGAATTCTTTTATCAGATACAGGAATGAACCCTGATAAATTTACATCATTATGATTAGCATGCTACCACTGGCTATTTTCCATCATTCCCAGGTACTACCAAATCAGTTATTTTCACATCTGCTTGCAACTCATATTTCCCTAAAGGATCTCAGAGATTATATTGGTTTTCCATTTTCCATTATACACTCTCACCTTTTCCCTTAAGGCTTTTCACAATTCACTTTAGTCAATCAGTTCTTATTGATTGTTAGGTCTCACTAGTTCCCCATCTATCTTTGCTTTATTAGATACATTGTTTGCTTTCTTTCCCTTTGTCTTGTCAGATACTTGCTGTTCTTTCCATTATTATTGCTTCATAGTTCTCACTTAAGCTTTATACTTTTGATCTGTTCACCTTTCATTCCAACTAAAGCCTAGATTACCTTACTCTTGGCTTGTGCCTTTTTTATGCCAGACAGTACACTTAAAAGAGAGAGCCCAAATTTCATTGGGCCAAACTATCTCTTTTTAAAACCTTCCCTAAAAGTTAGTTCTTTCATGCTATTTTCTCTCAGATAAAGTCTGCATAACTACTTGTTTTTAAGCTCTTTTCTCCAGAGATCATATTTATCTAAAAAGCTAGAAGCTTCTTGACATCTATGTATCACATGCTTTATATATTTTTGTGACTGAATATGCTTCCTTTTTATTAGAGATAAGCAAAGTTGCAAGATTCACTTTGCTTCTGTCACTACTGAGCCAAACCACAGTGTTTAGTTTGGGAGGTTCACATATGTCTTCAAGGACATAACCAGCTGACTCTTAACACTTTATCTTGACTGATTTCTGAGACAATGACCTGATAGTGGCCAAACATCCCATTCCCCCTTCCTTTTTGGGCTAGGATATCCCATGGATTTTCAGAGATGTCAGGTAGCAACCCTGATCCCCCAAAACCCGTTAGAGTGTGTACCGGAGGCAGGAAGCAACCTTCTCTCCATACAAGAGAGGTGAAACTGGGAAAAACTTTTTTTTTTTTTTTGGAGATGGCTTCTGCATTGATTATAGGGGCAGAGAAGCCTTATAGATTGCTTAGCAAGGTAACTGGGGAAAACACTGGGGATTCCCAAGAGTCACACATTAGGGATTATACAACATCCTAGGTGACTACTACCGAAGGATTTTCCTAGCTACCAAAGGAAGAAGATGGTGCAAGAAATCTCTTGCCTTTGCACTGCTGCTGAGGGAATGCAAGGATTGTGTGAGACCAATGACTTTCCCACGTGGGCAGGATAAAGGTAGGGCTATAGCGGAGTCAGGGGACAAAATAAAAGGGAGCACAGGGAAGTGCAGCTTCTAATTATTTTCTTCTCTTGGGATGACATGGGGCGGGAGGAAGGAGATCAGCTCTCCCTTCTTACACCTAGGTTTTTCCTCCTCATATTATGCTAACAATCTCAAGTTGATTAGCCAGTAAGTTCCCATATGTTTTCACTCCAGCTCAGCTCACTCAGAGACAACAAATGAGGCAGTAATCTCAGAGAGACCTCCCTCTGTACATCAGCCAAGTTTTCTGGACATGTTCAGCCAATGACTTCAGAAAAGTTTTAACCATGACTTCAAACCAGCAAGACAAAGGTCCTTAGTCAACTCAGAGCTCCCATTGCCTTGACATCGCCTCAGTCAGCTACAGGCACCATGACAGTGAATGGCATCAGTAGCCTGTGCCTTGACACAGGGGCAGATGACGATTTTGCATGGCCCAGGGCAGCACAATTTCGTGGGGCCCCCCCTTTGACATGGCGCATGTGCGGGGCTTCTTGAAGTGCGGGGCCCTGGGCGGCCGCCCCACTCGCCCTGCCCTATATCCGCCCCTGCCTTGACACCAGCCCAGGAAATCTGAGGTGTCAAGCTAGTGACGTCACAGATACCTATATCCTGGCATGACCTGAACATGCCAGAAATGTTGAACTAGATACCTTACGGACAAGTGACCTGAATGCAGTCTAGCAAGTTACAAATTCACAACCAATGAGCTCACAGCATCCCGAGACTTAAATTTCATGCTAGCAAGATAGAGCTGCTGATGCAGTAAGCTCAGACAAGCTCATACCTTGCCATAAGTCCAGCAAGACAGAAGTGCCAAGCCACTTGGAATTCCCAAAGATGTTTAGTCACTTCACCAAAGCCTTTCATCAGCCAGCAAGTGAATGGTGCTGAGCTAATGACTTCACAGAATGGTGTGCAATAGAGATTTACTGAAGAAGCCTTTATGTAAGGGTTGATGGTAGAGGGCATGCTAGGTGAGAACTAAAAGCAGAAGTGCCACCTTTTCTTCATCTCATGGGTGCGGTGGTGGGGATTTCATTTCTCCAAGTTCCATCTCCTCCAGCTTCTTAGCACTGACTGACAAAATAAGCATTCATTAAGCTAATAATCCAGAATGCAAAGCACCAGGAGGAGCTGGTACCTGGATGGGGAGTTGATTGAGCCCAGCTGCCTTTAAATGAAACAGCACTGACATTTGACAGAAGAAAAAGAATAATTCAAGCTGGAAGTCTCACATCAGCTCATTTCCTCCACAGGAAGATCCTTATGTCCCCACCAAGGGGAAAAGGAGAGGGAAAGCCCTCTATCCCCCTTCTAGCTGGGGGAGGGAGATCCTGCCTCTGCCCAGTACAAGCTGGATTTCCGGGGCAGAAATGAGCATGTGGATGTGTGAGTACAAGACATGTTCCTCTATGCAGTTCCACATTCAACAAATTCACATTCACCTTCACATCCACTTCCTTTCAGGTCACACAACATTTAAAGACACTTAACCCTATGTTCTCAAAGTTCTTTTGGCTATTTTCATGAAATTTAGGGAACTTCAAACTCACCATTTGCAAGAACTGTTTCATAGATGTAAGACAGTGACTCTTCAGCTTCTTCCTTCTGTCGTTCATCTAAGAAAAGAAAGATGTTTTAATGGATGACATCTCCCTGAAAACATACTGAAATGGGCATCTCTCTGGCTAGTTTCCCTCTGGTTGCTTCTTAAAATGTTTAATTCTGTATTCTAGAAAAGACAGCTCTGATCACTGGTGAGATGAGAAATACTTTAGGAACAGCTTACTTTGGAATAACTAGTTAATTTCAGGACAGTAACCGCATATTTTAGAGATTTTTTAAATTGAAGCTTACAACAGAGGCTTTCTCCATAAAAATATTAAAACCTGCTTGTTTTTCTGCTCCATTCCTGAATTTACATATTGAGACTAAGTAATTTATTAGGTGTTAGTTCATTAGTAAGCATTAGTTTATGAGATATGACATGTGGATTAGGTAATATGATAGCATAAGTGAGAAAAGAAAACAGTTTGTACTATGAAATGCAAAGCTTTGTCACTCTGAGTCCATATCACAGCACAGAAGGATAATAACATGGAATTAAGGTAGAAGTCTCATTGTGGTCAGTAGAAATCGTGCATGTAGACTGATGGCAGGATTAAAACCTCGTTAGTTTTTACTTTGAGCTTCCTGGCTTTTGATCACTTGTACCCCTGCCTCAATGTTACTGTCCAAAGTTAAGGTATACAAAAAGGAGACTTCTGAGAAGTGAAATTCCTACAGAAGGAATTACAATGGATGAGGTGCCATACAAACTTCATTTTGACACACTGCTTTCCATAGATATGAACTTCACAAAATCCCATAGAAAACCTATGCATTTCTCATTAGACTATTAGGGTATGTCTACACTACAAAGTTAATTCGAACTAACAGACGTTAGTTCGAATTAACTTTGATAGGCGCTACACTAGCGCTCCGCTAGTTCGAACTTAATTCGAACTAGCGGAGTGCTTAATTCGAACTAGGTAATCCTCATTTTATGAGGACTAACGCCTAGTTCAAATTAGCTAGTTCGAATTAAGGGCTGTGTAGCCACTTAATTCAAACTAGTGGGAGGCTAGCCCTTCCCAGGTTTCCCTGGTGGCCACTCTGGGCACAACCAGGAAAACTCCTCTCCTCTCCCCCAGCCCCAGGCCCTTAAAGGGGTAGACTGTGGCCAGACGGCACTTCACACAGCCAGCCCTGCCAGCAGTCTCTGGCCCGAACCAGTGGCCCCAGGATAAGCCAGGGAGCCAGTGCCAGCTAGCCGTCCCCTGCCCAAAACGCTAATTCGAACTAGTTTTTAAGTCTAGATGCGCTAATTCGAATTAGCTTAGTTCGAATTAACTAATTCGAACTAAGTTAGTTCGAATTAGTGCTGTAGTGTAGACATACCCTTAAGTATTATTGACACTAAAATGATTCTCTGCAATAAATAATTGTTTTAAATCCATTAGATCAAAGGAAAGATGACATAAAGCATCACTGATTTCTTAAAATCAAGTGGATTAATGATTCTTCTGAATAGACCATATTTATATAAATGTCTTTATAGGCAAACGTGGTATTATTGTGCAAATAACCACAATACTGAAGACCATTTTTCACAAATTCAATATCAGAAACTAAATAGAACAATATTAAAAGCTATCATTTGACAAAATATAGAATAATTTAAAAAATCTAAATGAACCAAATAATCTGAAACCTTAGCAGTAAGACAAAGCTGAGTAATTTATATTTGCTTGCATTCCCCCTTTCCCTTTCTGAGGCCTAATCCTGAGATTCCTTATATAAAGGCCAAACCTATGTTAAAAGTGGTGAGCTTGCTGTGGAAGAGAAGTGAGGAGGGGGATAGTCTGGGAAGACCCCTTATAAGCCAGTATGTCTCCTTTTGGTACATGCGGAATCTCTGTGTTCTTCAGAGTTTACTAAAAAATATGGGAATGTGGGTTTGTGCATGACTGATCAACTAATTGTGTGTCCCTCATAAGGATGTTAAGGAGCAGATATTTGGCTGATAAATTTGTATTGACTACACAAATAATCGATAAGGGAAGGAACTCTGCAGAGTTGCAGCTGAGGTAGCTCCTGGAGCTGGTGTGACACAGGACTGAGTAGTCCCAGCTCGTGCTGGTTCCAGGACTACTGTAGTAGTGGCTCTTACTACATTTAAAAGGCAGAGCCGCAGAGGGTAAATCTGGAACCCAGCACGAGCTGGGACTGCTCAGTCCCAGCTCTCACTCGGTCCAGGACACTGCGGCTCTGCATTTTAAAAGGAGCTGCTTGGCTCTTATTATATTTAAAATGCAGAGCTGCAGCAGTCCCGAGCCAGTGCCCGGCTCGTGTCAGGTCCAGCAGTCCCTATTCACAGTGACCTGGGCTGGCTGCGGGCAAAGGCTGCTCCAGCAGCTGCCCCTGTCCCTGGCAAACCCCAGCTAGCGCAGACAGAAGATACTCCTGTAGCAGACGCCACAAACGGGCTGCTGCTAAGGTAGCCCCTGCCCAACGGCTGG